TTTACTTTGTTTTTGTTATCTTTCGCCATTCATATTATACATATTCTTATCATCTTTCGATGAACCAATTTTTATCATTTATCCAAAAAACAACCATCTTTATCTATGGGAAAAGATGAACGTAAGTTACTATAATTTACTCATTTGGTTATTCGAGTGAATATGTAATTAACAAAAATCCACGATCAAAAATCATATATATGTCAACATGTTTTGACTCGGTATCATGTTTTTTCATCTGCAAACTATTCCAAGATGAATCATAATTTTACATCTCATACAATAATTTTACATCTACGACATATAGATCTATCGTAATCTTTCTATATACAGGATTAGTCAAACTCCTAGTCTACGGTATCATGTGTTGGTTATTATTATTATTTTTTGGTTATATAAATAGAAATATTGTTGACCAAAATAAATGAAATATTTTGAAAAACAAAATATGGAATGGAACTTTAGAAACTAATTTAGCTGCATATATTTATATACTTATGTAAATAACAAAAATCGTATCTATGTCAAAATGTTTTGACTCGGTATCATGTTTTTTTTTTTCATTATGTAAACTATTGCAAGATGAATTATAAAAACCAAAATCTCGTACAATAATTTTACATCGATGACATATAGTTCTTAATTTTTTTTTTTTTGAAAAATATAGTTCTTAATTTGATCTGTAATATTTTTATATCCAGGATATATCCTTGATAAATTTAAAATATTTAAATTTCTCAGACGCTATGTCATATTCAATGTTGAATCCAAGAAAACTAAAGCTTTGAAAATAAATGAATTTCCTATTATTATGAAAGAAGAAAGTCACACAATGGAAATAAATCGTTTATACTTTCCTTGATAGCATCAGAGCATATATATTGTGAATCTTCTGGTAAAAGGCATATGAGATCAAACAAATATATAAACTTTCCAAATATTTTCTATTTATTTACCAATACAAAGATCTCATCAGCACTACGAAACCAAAACCCTCAAAACCAATTATTTTTTAGCCTATTCGAAAATGAAACTAACACAAACCAAAGTTTTATTTTTCTTTTTAGCACTAATCTCCCCATCCATATTCCAACAAACAAATTCAACGTTCGTATGTCCGAAGAAAACAAATTCAACGTTCTTATGTCTTTTTAGCTATCTTTTGTTCTTTTTTCTTTTGCTAAATGTTTATTTATCTTTAAATATATTTCCTAATATTTTAATGGGTTGGTGATTTCTTTTCTAATAAATGAAATATTTTGAAAAAAAAAATGGAATGTAATTTCTTAAAAACTAATTTAGCTGCATACCTATATTTAAGTAACATACTTTTGAATATTAAATTCTGTAAATTCTATGCCAATATGTTTCCTATTATTATGAAAGAAGAAAGTCGCACAATGGAAATAAATCGTTTATACTTGGGACATTTACAAAAATACTACTTTTTGTGTTTACATTTGTAAAAATGCCATTTTTGGTGTTCATTTGCAAAAGTGCCACTAATTATGATTTTTTAGAGT